ACTAGAGGTTTATCCGTGTGGGGAATATTTCTACTAGAGGTTTATTCGTGTGGGGAACATTTCTACTAGAGGTTTCTTCGTGTGGGGAATATTTCTACTAGAGGTTTATTCGTGCGAGGATTATTTCTACTAGAGGTTTATCCGTGTGGGGAATATTTCTACTAGAGGTTTATTCGTGTGGGGAATATTTCTACTAGAGGTTTATTCGTGTGGGGATTATTTCTACTAGAGGTTTATCCGTGTTGGGATTATTTCTACTAGAGGTTTATTCATGTGGGGGTTATTTCTACTAGAGGTTTATTCGTGTGGGGATTATTTCTACTAGAGGTTTCTCCGTGTGGGGATTATTTCTACTAAAGGTTTATCCGTGTGGGGATTATTTCTACTAGAGGTTTATTCGTGTGGGGATTATTTCTACTAGAGGTTATTTCGTGTGGGGATTATTTCTACTAGAGGTTAATTCGGGTGGGGATTATTTCTACTAGTGGTTTCTTCGTGTAGGGCCCCAATCTTATGCAATCTCCGCCAGACAGAACTGCGACTCGAGAGTTGCGCGTGCAGTAGTGTGTGCCAGGATTTGTCCTTGAAGGTGACGCGTGTGGTCGTATTTAACCCATCGTGGACCTACATGCTGTGCCAAATCTACACGGAACCCAGGTAGATAGCTGAATATAGACACATCCCAGAATGCACACTAACACGACTCGGAGTGTATAAATACTCTTTTCTTTTACCGGAATACATCAGTAGCTGTATGTGAGGCCCCAGGTACTCTGCATGCGCACCCACACACTTCGAATACAAAGCCAAGGGCGAAGTTCAAGAGTTCACCTTGGCAAATGTCTATTCGCAACTCACAACACTAGTTGCATGCATACTCCGACTTGAATTTAAGGAAGTGTGCGGAAGTGCTGGGTCGTTTTTAACTGGGTTATGGCTCTTAGTTTAAAATTATGAAATATGGATGTTAGTACCAGCAAATCGTTTGACCTGCTTGCTAAACCCAAAACAAATATCACATACCATCCGAATTCTGAGGCAACCCCAAAGGATTTTGGAAATGTGAATCAAAATCGCGTACCTTTACACCTATAACTAGACACCACACTATGTTATATATTGGAGAATAGAATGGGACATTTATATGTGAATATATCTATACATATAAATACATACCCATACGTAAACATATACAAACATAAACACATATATATACGTATACATGTACGGATACATATCCATGTACAAACTTGTATGCATATACATAAACATGTATACATATACATATACCTATACATACATATGCATATATATTTACTTATGTGAATGTCTATACGTCCATATATAGATATAGATATAGACATATGTATGTATGAATGAAAGTATGAATGTATACATATATGTATTTTTGTATGTATCTGTATCTATGTCTATATACATAAATATATATATATATGTATATTATTTATATATATATTATACATATATATGAATGTATTATATATATATATATATTTATATAATTATACATAATATTTAAATATATATATATTTAAATATATATATATATAATAGTCATTATGTATATATATATATATATATAAATATGTATACATATAAATAGAATTATATATATATATATATGTGTGTGTGTGTATATCTATATATATACGTATATGTATATCAATACATATACATATGCATCTGCATATACCTATAAGGATACATTACCTTAGTAGATGCATATACGTCGATACGTAGATATAGATATAAATGTTTGCATATATAAATATATATGTATGTATATACGTATCTATATATCAATTATATATATAGATATATCGCTATAAATAGACAAATATAATATATATATATACAAATATGTATCCAAATACATATATATATATTTGTACATAAATATAAATACAAATATAAATATATATATACAAATAGACAAATACATATATATATATAATAGTCAATATATATATATTTATGCATATGTATATATATATATATATAAGTATATATAATATATATATATAATAAATAATTATATATATATATATATACTATAGTGTGTGTGTG